GATAGGGAAATGCTTGAGCATGATGAGGCTAACCGAAGATTAATACGGGAATATCACAAGCATGATAAGGCTAATCTAAGATTAATAGAGAAATTGCATGAGTGGGATAAGAATAGACAAAGATTAATGGAGGAATTCATAGAATCCACAAACAGACAGCTGGAGGTATCCAAGGAGGCCACAAAGGGAATGCTGAATGAAGTCCAACAGAAAGAAAGGGATTCCAGAGAAACCATAACCAATCAACTAAGGGATTTGAGAATGAACACTGAAAATCAAATTAAGGAAGTAAAGAAGTCCATACAAGATCTAAAAGAAAGCTGCAATGAAGAATTTGAAGCCATCAAATCTGACCAATTAGAAGGAAAAGAAATAAAAAAAACAAAGTAAAAAGTCTTGACAGTAGTTTGGACCATGCAGAGGATCAAATCTCTGGGATTGAAGACAGCCTAGAGAAAGAACAGACAACTATTCAAGACAAATCCAAGAAATATGATAGATCTATTCAACATCTAGAAGACACCATCAGAAGGCCTAATTTGAGCATAATGGGTGTAGAGGAGCACCTAGAGACAGAAGTTAATGGTCTAGGAAATTTATTTAACAGGATTCTAGAAGAGAGCTTCCAAAACATGCAAAAAGATAGACCTATTCAAATGCAAGAAGCCTTTAGAACCCCAAATAGACCAGAACAGAACAGGACATCCCACCGTCACATTATAATTCACACAGGATCAATTCAGACCAAGCAAAGGATTCTTAAGCTGTCAAGGAGAAAAGATCAATCACCTGTAAAGGGAAACCAATTAGAATCACCTCAGATTTTTCAGCAGAGACAATTAAATCAAGAAGAGCCTGGAATGAAGTATGCCATGCCTTAAAGACAAACAACTATCAACCAAGAATACTGTACCCAGCTAAACTCTCCTTTATAACAGAACCTCTAATAAAAAGCTTCCATAGCAAAGAAAAACTAAAACTCATCAAAAAAAAATCATACACCATGATCAAACAGAATTCATTTCAGGGATGCAAATCTGCTTCAATATATGTAAATCAATTAATATAATTCATCAAATCAACAAGAGCAGGTTAAGGACCACATGATTATCTCAATAGATGTAGAAAAAGCATTTGACAAGATCCAACACCCCTTTATGTGAAAGCTCTGGAAAAACTAGGAATCCAGGGAACATTCCTTAATATAATAAGGGCTGTGTATGACAAACCTATAGCCAGCATGATACTTAATTGCGAAGAGCTAAAGCCATTTCATCTAAATTCAGGAACAAGAAAAGGATGTCCACTCTCTTCACTTCTCTCCAATTTAGTATTAGAATGCCTAGCTACAGCAATAAGATGCAAACATAAAGGGGATCCAAATAGGGAAAGATGAAGTAAAACTCTCCCTCTTTGCAGCTAACACAATCTTGTATTTAAAGAACCCCATGGACTCCACTCCCAAGTTACTCAAGCTGATTCAAAACTTTGGCAAAGTAGCAGGATACAAAATTATCCCTCAAAAATCAATGTTGTTCCTGTATGCCAATAATGAGAAGAGCGTGGCTGAAATAGGAAAGCAACTCCTTTCTAATAGCCCCACAAAAAATAAAATACATAGGATTTAACTAAAGAAGTGAAGGACCTCTATGAGGAAAACTTTAAAATCCTGAAAAAGAAAATTAAAGCAGAACTAAGGAAGTGGAAAAACCTCCCATACTCTGGATTAGGAGGATAAACATCGTGAAAATGGCAATACTTCCAAAGGCTTCCTACAAATTCAGTGTGATACCCATCAATATCCCTACCTCATTCTTCAGAAATAGAAGAAGCAACCCAAAAATTCATATGGAACAACAAAAGACCCCAAATAGCAAAAACAATCCTTAGCAGAAAGAACAGTGCTGGAGGAATATCAATACCAAACTTCAAACTCTACTACAAAGCCATAGTAATCAAAACAGCTTGGTACTGGCACAAGAACATACCTGAGAACCAATGGAATAGAACTGAAGACCCAGAAATAAACCCACAGACCTATAGCCACCTAATCTTTGATAAAGGAGCTAAAAAAATAGGATGGAAGAAAGACAACCTTTTCAGTAAATGGTGCTGGCAAAATTGGTTAAACACATGTAGAAAACTAAAGATAAATCCCCATATATCAGCCTGCACCAGAATCAAGACTAAATGGATCAAAGACCTCAAAAACAAAGTAGACGTTCTGAAACATTACAGGAAGGAATAGGAGAAACTCTAGGGCTCTTTGACACAGACCGAAATTTTCTTCAGAGAGACCCAGAAACACAACAAATCAAAGAAAGATTGGACAAATGGGATTGCATGAAGTTGCAGAGCTTCTGCAGGGCAAAGGACATAGCTGGCATGATCAATAGAAAGCCCACAGATTGGGAGAAGATCTTCATAAGCCATGCAATGGACAAGGTTCTCATGTCTAAAATATACTTAGAACTCAAAATATTAAATCCCCCAACAACAAATCCTCAAAGAAACAACTGCTCCCATTAATAAGTGGGCTAAAGACTTAAAGAGAGACTTCTCTGAAGAGGAAATAAGAATGGCCATTAGACACATGAAGAAATGCTCAACCTTTCTAGCCATAAAAGAAATGCAAATTAAAACAACATTGAGATTCCAACTCACCCCAGTTGGAATGGCTATAATCAAGAACTCTAATAATAACAGATGCTGGAGGGGATGTGGCTGGAGGGAAACTCTACTGCATTGCTTGTGGGAGTCTAAACTTGCTCAGCCACTCTGAAAAGCAGTATGGAGTTTCCTCAAAAGACTCCACATAGTGCTCCCCTATGAACCAGCAATCTCACTTGTGTGCATTTAACCAAAAGATCACAAACAAGGCCATACTAAAGCTACCAACACAACTATGTTTATCACAGTGTTATTCACCATAGCTAAGATATGGAACCAACCCAGATGCCCCTCAGCAGATGAATGGATCAAGAAAATTTGGTATATATACACAATGGAATTCTATGCCTCCATCAGAAAAAATGACATCACCTCATTTGTTAGAAAATGGACTTGGAAAAAAATTATATTAAGTGAAGCAAGCCAGACTCAAAGAAACATAGGTCCCATGGTTTCCCTTATCTGCAATAACTAGTATATGTCTGGGACAAGCAGAGGAGCTTTAAAGCTATGTACTACATATGACCATATAACCTGATGCTAAATGAAATGAACCACAAAATAGGAACACAAGAGGTTTTGTCTTTGTTGCTGTTCTTTTTAATGTACTTATTATGTACTATGTCATTTTTTTTGTTTCTTTGTATGTTCTTCCCCCATGGTACAATCCCTGTTGTCACTGTATTTGATTCCGGTGTCCTGCCTCTTGTATATACATTTTTCTAATTTGGAGAGGAGAAGGGAAATAACAAAATGCTGAAAGGATTCAAGATGACCCTTTGTAATAATGAGATAGATGCACAAGACAGTATGTTGAAAACGAACTTTATAACTTTGCAGAGGGAGGAGTTGGGGAGGTGGAGAGGGAAGGGGTGGTAGGGGAAAAACAAAGGTGGTTGTAACAATGCTCGATAGGAAATGGACTTGTTATCTTGCTCATGTAACTATAAGCCCTCTGTACAGTATCTTTACAATAAAAATATATATATATAAGAAAAAAAGAAAAATTTTTCCCTTTTTTTAGTTCCTCACAACATTCCTTGGAAAAACTGGAATTGAAAAACTAATATATCCCTATGATCTTTCTTCCCAGATATCCTTCTCCTGATACCCACTGTTATAGGGGCCATCTGATGTCAGTAAGGACTTGAAACTGATGCTCATCCCTGACAACACATTCTTCTCTCCCTTACATACTTCCTAAGTCTCTAGTTCAGTTAGTTATGGACAGCGGTAGTAACAGAGGTAGACAGGATGACTATCATCACTTGTCTTTGAGAAATGAAGTATGTGGCCTATGTTGTTATAAGAAGATATTCTCAAATTACAATCTTAGAAAGTAGAAGAGTCCAAATTTGTTATGGTTTTCCCATGGAATGGTGGTTGTTTTTTGTTGTCTGTTTGTTTTTGTGGTAAAGGGATTATAACTCAAGGCCTCACCCTTAGTGTTACAGTGCTTTAACACTTGAGCCATATTCCCAGCCCTTTCTGCTCTCATTATTTTTCAGATAAAGTTTGCAATTTTGCCTGGGCTGGTATTGGATAGTTATCTTCCTACCTCTGCCTCCCAAAGATTTTGACTTACAGCCACGTGCCAGCATGACCAGCTTTAATAGATAACTTTTCATTCCATTCACTGTGTAAGAGAGACTTGGGCCTTCAATAAACAGTGTAAAGACATAAGATGAAATGGAAAGTAAACGAACTATAAGTATCTAGCCTTTGGCCCCACAACTCATTCAATCTTCCACTATACTCAGAGATGATGACAATTGTTTGATTGAAAAACATTCCAAAATGCTTACAAGGTTCTGTTAAGACAGAAGATATATGTTTGAGAGATATTGGAGGAGTGAATCAATCACACACAAATCCTGGACTGAATTTCATCTCTAGTATCTTGTGGCTCAAGATCAGCCCCATTGCTGTCAAGAACTAAAAGCCTGTAGTAAGAATATAGAGCAAAGAATTACCCCTCTAATTAGTGTCCTCTCGTGTTTATTCATATTGAGCTCATGCTTATAACGGTCAAGAGATGACATTTGAAATCTAGATCCTGGTTGGTTTTTCTTCAAGAAGAAACTGAATTAAAAGTTTTGAATCTTGGGGCTGGGAAGGTGGCTCAGTGGTAGAGCACTTGCCTTGCATGCATGAGGCCCTGGGTTCGATTCCTCAGCACCACATAAGCAAAAGGAAAAAAGCTGGAAGTGGTGCTGTGGCTCAAGTGGTAGAGCACTAGCCTTGAGCTGAAGAGCTGACGGGACAGCACCCAGACCCAGAGTTCAAGCCCCACAACCGGCCAAAAAAAAAAAGTTTTGAATCTCTAAAAGTATCTTGTTACACAGTTTCATGTTTATTTTGTTTAAATTATGCATCTATTTTACAAACACTTACATGAATCTACTCATTTCTTCACATATTCTACCAATGTTTACTGAGTTATATTATAAGCTGCTAACCGGTTCCAGGTGGTTTAATGAAACACACACATCTTTGAAACACTGCACATCTTTGAATATGGGTTTCTCAGTGTATAGTGTGACTTATGTTTGACATTTGCAAAGCTATTGAGTAGGCTGTAAAGTGTTTCTAGGGCACATTGTTTCTCTAGCAAAGACATTAGCTACTTTGAGGAGTGGATTTAAGTTGGTCACTTTTTCTAGTCTCCCGAATCTTCAAGATTGTTTTGAACTGCTCCTGGATTGAGAACAATATCCCTGTATCCAGAGCAAACAGCATGACCACCACCAATGGAACAGTAAGTTGTAGCCAGGAATACCTGGATTGGTAAGCTAGAGAGGAACATAGATGAAAAAGAAATGTAATTCAAATAAACAATTAAAGAATGAGAAATATATCTTCCTATGAGAGGGGCCAAGCATGGTCCCCCATTTTAGCATGCTACTGCATCTAGGAGCCAAGAGCAAATACCTAGGAGACTGAGTTTCACAGTCTGTCCTTCCTGGAGTGTTAAGGAAAGTTGAAGCTAAGTATTCCCCAATAACTCCTGCTCAGCTGTTTGTCTAGTCATTGTTTCCAAGGAAAGTCATAGGAAAAATGACCCCTTTCCTAGAGCTGAAATGACTACCATCCATATACAATCTAGAAATAGAAACAATAGAGCCAGGATGTGGGGTAGGGTAGTGTCAGACACCAGTGTCTTATTTCTTATTACTCTTGCATGGTTACCATGTTAAATAATGATATTGCAATGATATTGTTGCTTTGGGGCCATTCTGTTGTGATATTGTTATTTAAATAGTAGTGATTTTTTTCTTATTGTTCTAAAATTATAGAGCTAAAATGTCTCAGTCACCTAGTGATGATCTAAGCCAGTGGCTCTTAACCAAGGCAGGCTTCACTTTACTGTCACTTGAAAGAGATTTGCAAGGTTCTGATGCCCATGTCTCACCCTGAACCATTTAAATCAGACTCTAGAGAGCTGAACCATAGACATTAATATCTTTTGAAGTCCCTTAGATGATTGTAGTAGGATCTAGAATAACTTCTTCCTTTAATTTATATAGAGAGATATTGGAAGATCAGAGGCAATTAACTAGCAGTTTGGCCTCAATAATTTGAGACTTGCCATCAGAGCTTAATTCTGGCTTTTGGTTAAGTGCTATTTCAGAGAATATTGCAAACAAGGCCAAGATACATCTAACTTTTTCCTTGCAAAGCAAGTGTTATAAAGGCTCTCCCTCTTACATGAAGTTTGAATAGAGTAGTTCTTTCTCTTTTAAGCCATAGGAGGCAGCTTACCTGCCTGCCCTCTTCTGATCAAACATGCAGCTTACTGACTATTTGGTTTCCTTCCCCAGCCCCCTAACCTAGAATGGAATCTTCAAGCTTTGCACATACCTTGTAACTTCAACTTTGAAACTCACTTTCAATTTGATAAATAGGAGTGCTCACCTCAGGGACAATAGTTAAGTTTGAGATCAAAGCAGTAATCACAATCTATTATGCCTGGACAGTGCTTAATAGTTTACAAAGCCACTTAACAAAATTACCTCATTAATCTTCATAAAATTCCATCGTGTGGGCAGTATTACTATTAGCATTTAACAAACAAGGAATTTACAATTGAGACAGACACTAGCACCTAGGCCTCTTCATTGCAAGTCTGGTAGCATCTCCACGCTAGTAGCATAGCCCAGATGGTTCCATTCTAATAGCTGCAAACACAGATGTTCTCTCTGCCTTCCCCACCATGAACCATTTTTCCTTAACTATTTCTCTTTATTTGTGCCAGTCCTGGAGGTTGAACTCATGGCCTGGGTTCTATTCTTTAGATTTTTTTGCTGAGGAATGGTGTTCTTCTATTTGAGCCACAGCTCAATTAACCAGATTTTTTCTGGGAAACAGCTAAGAGTCTTAGGGACTTTCCTGCACAGGCTGGCAGATATACTGAGATTACCAGATCTCAGCCTCTTGAGTAGCTAGGATTACACACATACAAACTCACCTTTTATCACAGTAATTTTTAGGCCCTCTGAGTGACGTCTCCACCTCTGAACTTTGCCATCACAGTGATAGGTGCCACTGTCATTAAGTGAGGCACTTGTTGTGATCGTGATGTTTGAACTGTAGTACACATACTTGAAAGCTGTGCCATCTTTGTAGTAGATCACCATGTACACATTACGGTTATTCCAGCCATGACACCTGATGATGAGGGGCTCACCCTCGATCACCATCTCAGCAGAGGCCTGAAGGAGTAGCCAATCTAAAGAGCATTTGTTATGTTATTAATTTAACAATAGATGGAAGGAGGGAAGATAGGGAGGAAATATGGATAAAATGATACATAGATAGATAGATAGATAGATCTATCTATCTATCTATATCTATCTAGATAGATATATCTAGATAGATATAGATAGATGCATACATACGTACATATATACATATATATGAGGTTATGCTTGAAATGCCAGAAATCAAAGATTATCATTAATTTATTTCTTGACTCATAACGCCAGTAACAATGAGCAAAAATATGGTTTAGAATCTATCTTCTGTACTAATGAATATTCTTTCCTGAAAAGTTAGTCTGGAGCCATGAAGTCTCTCACATGTTTCTTCTGAGCCTATGAATGAAAGGCCCCCAGCCCAGAATTTCCTTCAGATTTATTACTGTTGGCTCTATTCACAAAACTGAAAGTTATAATTTAGGAGAATCTGTTTTGTTTTCTCATAGCTTATGGAGGCTTCTTAGCTCTGCTATTGGCCTCAATACTTTCTTAAAACATGCATAGCAACTTTAATCAATTATTTAATTCTTTTTTTTTTTTTTTTGTCAGTCATAGGGCTTGAACTCTGGGCTTGGGCACTGTCCCTCAGCTCTTCAGCTCAAGGCAAGAACTCTACCACTTGAGCCATAGCACCACTTCCAGTTTTCTAGTGATTTATTGGAGATAGGAGTCTCAGGGACTTTCCTGCACGGGCTGGCTTTGAACCTCAATCCTCAGATCTCAGCCTCCTGAGTAGCTAGGATAACAGGCATGAGCCACCAGTGCCCAGCTTGTCTAGTTCTTTATTCAGTTTCCTCTTCTTCTTTCAGGAAGTTGGTGATAATGTCTTGTTATTATACCTTCAATGGCAGATATGATGCCCAAGACTACACAGATACTCAACAAATAATTTTCAGCAATTTGTCAGTAATGAGTCAGTAAAAGGTAAGAGTCAGGTTCTAAGGCTAAGGTTGTAGTAAGAATTGTAAAATATTCATGATAGGAGAATTTCAGACAGGGACATCATGGTTGATTTGTGCAAGCACCTTGATTTAGGAGACACCTTTGAGGTCTTCTTTTGAACCTATTGCAGGAAAATAAACTATTCAACATTGCTTTAATTTGTACTTGCAACTTGTGTATGGGTGTTGAAACACTTCCTTTTGCTTGAGAGGACACTATAAAATATATCTATGGCTTTTTTACCCAAAAGAAATCATTAGTTTGCTCCTTCAACATTTACAAATTAACCCTCCCCTACACCTAAGTATATTGTGCTAATTGTTGGCAAGAGGAAGAATAATAAAGATGATACATACATTCTTAGAATCAGTTTCATTAACAGTAGATAACAAGAGGAAATAATGGATAGCTTTCCTAATAAACGTAATATTCAGGTCATAGCATGTGGATTGTTCAGAACAAATCTTTGAATCAGATCTTTTTATCATATTCTAGAATCACATCTCTCTGCAATATCCACCGATCCATCATATCATCTGTCAACATAACCTACATCTACATCTAAGCAGAAAAGATGGAGGAAAATGGCAGAGAGACATTGAAAGATGACTGGAGTATTGAAAGTGGATTTTAAAGGTGTGGGTTCTAGAAGAGAGAAGAAGTTGGACATGGTGGTGCAAACCTGTAATTGTAGCATATATAAGGCTCTTAGCAGGAGGATCTTGAGTTTGAGGCCCTTCTACACTACATAGCAAAATGCTGCCTGACAAACAAACAAACAAAGAAGGAAGAGGAGAGCAACAAAAAGAAAGAGGATGATGAGAACAAGAAAAGAGGAAGAAGAGAAAGAGAGAGGAAGATACTTAAATGAGAAGTTCCCAGTTTCCCCCGGTGCTCTCAGTCTCTGAATAACTTCCTTTCTCTCCATCTTCAGATGAGCCATTCCTCTCATGGAAAACAGACATTTCCAAATCCCAACAAACTTACCACTGAACACTTGCAGGTGCACAGATTCACTTTGATAAAGTCCATTGGTCTTACATTTGTATGTCCCACTGTCTTCAAAGCTGGCATTCACGATGTCCCAATGTGAAGTTGTCACTTTGGAAATGGTGCCATTGTGGATCCACTCAGTGGGGCCGGCTTTACTAGAGTTGTTCCCATGACATAAAAGAGTTACACTGTCTCGTTTAAATATTCTGTTCCATGGTGGATTCAAAGTCACTATAGATTTCTGAGTGGCTTAAAGAAGATAAATTATGGAAAGAGACAAAGAAGCAAAATAAAGAAGCAAAAATAAAAAGTATTGTAAAGCATCTAGGCTCACAAGTACAAACATGCCAATAGCCAACTAATGGTCGGTGTCCCCTTACAATGAGAATGATAAGATATAGGATACTGTCTTAATTTCTAGGGAAGGCATTAAAAATAGAGGCCATAGTGTTGTGTCTCTAGAGGGCTCCCAACCTCAGGGGAGAGAACACAAATTAATTTACTAAATGACTTGAGATACATTGTATTTTTCTTCATTTCAATGTTAGTATGCATAAGCAAGAATTGAAATCTCTTTGCAGGTAGAAAAAGTTGTCACACTTGATTATTGCTCAGTACAATGGCAGATCATGGTAAGTGTTCATTAAAAACATATGGGGGGGAGGATGGGAAGAGATGGGAAGGGGAAACAAAGGAGGAGGCTACAATGCTTGATAAGAAATGTTCTCATTATCTTGCCCATGTAATTGTAACCCCTATGTACAGTATTTTCACAATAAAAACAAAACATATTGAGGAAAATGGATGCAGAAATAGTGGATAACAAATAAATTAGACTAGTTGAAAGATGTACATTTCTAAGATCTAATTTTTTATGGCTCTTTAATTGGAAGTGCACATAGAATATAAAATTTGTGGCCATTCTGGAAGGTAGTAAAAGGCACCACGAGACCCAGTCTGAAATAGAGCAAAAGGATGTGAGTTGAATGTGAACAGATGAGATGGCAAAATGGTGATATAGTTAAAGGAGAAATGTATTTAGATCTGAAGATCTTATTATGCTTGAGTCTACCTTTTTGTTTTCTATGTCACTCCATCAAGACATTTAATGTTTTTGCACCCTGCTGTAATAGAGCAATAATTGATGATAATAATAATAATAATGTGAACTTGAATGAGTGTATGAAACTTGAAAGAGATGTTAAGTCATGTAAGTGTACAGCTGAGATGCTGTTGCCTTAAACAGAAAAGGAAGATGACCTGAGGGGGTCCAATGGTTTATGAGAAACTCTTGAACAGGAGGAAAGAAGAAAGACTGCAGGTGGAAATGAAAAGCGAGCTGGACAGGGAGGAGCAGAAGTGATGGGATGAAGGAATGTAGTGAGGAGAGAAGAATGCTGAGGAAAATGCTGAGGGAACAAGGACAGAGGACTCACCTGCCAGCATGCCATCTGGAGCTGCAAAATTCCAGAGAGGATAAGTTAGCGTCTCTGCAGTCTTCTGAGACTCCAGAGTACGAATCCATCTCCATGGAGTTTAAAAGACTAAATATCTTCTTAAACAAACTGGTATAGAGAAGAAGGAGTTCCTGTCTTGTCTTGATACTCCTTCTTTAGCAGAGTTTGCACTCTGGGAGCGCCAGAGGATTGCAAAGAACCAAGTTCTTAGTCTAGCTTCCCCACTATATGTTGTGCATTCCCATTTCTTCTCTTTCCCCAGAGTCCCTAGAAATGACCCATGGTTTGCATATATAGTCAAAAAAGTCAACACCAAAACTCTCCTAGTTCCCCCTGGCCTGTTTTCCCAATCCATTTGGTTTTTCCAGGATAGTTAACTAAACTCTACTTACAGAAGAGCAGCAAAGCCATCCACAGAAGTGCAGGCCATACCCTGGCAGTAGCCATCTCCTCTCTGACTTTGGTGCCAGTTGGGCTAGAGTGATCTATGGCTCCAAAAATAGGCTTGAAAGCAAAAAGGAGAAGGAAATATTTTTTTGATTCATATCTGGCTAACTCATCAGCTGTGGTTCTTTCTCCAGAGACAATATTCAGGGTTGTACAAAACTGAGCAATTTTCTATTGACTCCCTTCACTTTCTCCTCACCTATACCCGGAACCTGGTAAGGAAAGGGGTATGGTTCTAGGCACTCCCACAGGGTTGCATTACAATGTCAATCATTGAATAATTGTTTAATTTGCAACTTGGAAAAGTGATACAAGTAAGAACAGAACAAAATCTAATGACTGAATACCTTAGCACAAGACAGGCACTAATGTTAAATTGAACTGACATTTCTCACAAAAAATTTTTTTGTAAATTAAGTGTTATCACTATATTTTACAGATAAGAAAACTGTGTCTTAGAAAGGGTCATGAACTTGTTACCATCTGGCACATGAAAACTTGATATTCAAATTCATAAGATCTAGCCCATGTCAATCTTTTTCCCATTCTGGTATACTGTTTATGCATGTCTCATTGTGGCCAAACATCAGTAAAATGCCATTGGAATTTTACTCATCTAATTTTAAGTAACAATGCTCTTGTTACTCAATTTCCTGCTGACCTATTTGGTTTACAAATCCACAAATTTTCATCTGACTGACTAATGATACACTATCTGACTGGTTAAACTGGAGATATTTTCCTAGACTCTTCCTCTACTGTACCTTCTTTCGTGTGTTTCTGCTGGTACTGGAACTTAAACTCAGGGCCAAAAGATGATTAGTAAACATATCTTCTTTATTAGTATTATGAAAGACATTCAGGAGAAATATGAATTTTATCTTCTAAAGGTAATCAGAAATCACCATATGATATTTTATCCAATAGCTGGTATTTGCACTAGTTACCTTGTGTAGCCAAATTAAGCAATTTCAATCTTCTCCATAGTCTGGAAGAAAACAGCAGGATCAGGGAAGGGCAGAACACAAAAGTCCAAATGGATTGGAGGAGAGTTGAAAGAATTGAGAGGATATGGGTTTGAGCTGCTGTCTGAGTGACATTTGAATCCCTAGACCCTGGAGAGATCCTAGACACAGAGATAGATCCTATTTTACCACTTGGTTGAGGATTTGTCCAGAGATGTTTGAATTTCCTTCTTGCTAGGACAGTGAACCTACAGTGAAATGTCTTTCAGAGACTGACATTGACGAAGATGCATTATACATATAAATTGATATGTTGAATGGAAGCCTTTTGGATGGCTACTTAAAAATAAAAACAAAGTGTATACATATTAAGTACGTTAAGCTTTCAAGATAAAACCAAATTGTCCTTCAGAGACTGTCGCTTTACTATGGCTCAAATAGCTGACTCATAGGCTTCCCTTAAAGTCTTCACACTGTCCAAGTAGTTCCTACTTGGGTGAAAACTGGAGAGAGCGCATAAACAGGTACTAGTTCTGGTGGGAAGAATATGCTTTAGAGATTACTTTCATTTGCTTTACCATTCTAAAGCTTTTGCAGAAGCGTTTAGCATTGAAATGAGGAGAATGTTTTGGTAACAGTGACACCAAAGACTTCACAAGTTCCACAAAAGCAATCACTAAAAAACAATTCAAAAAAACAAGCCCTATCACTTATTTGTCCAACCCTGAAAAGAAATCATCTAAAAACAATGGCCAACTACATGAAGCTCAGAAAGAATAATATATGGTTTCCAAACTGTATAAATAACTATAGGTACACAGGAACAAAACACAAATATAAAGGAACACATAAACACTAAGACTAAACAAGAGCTCCACACTGCCCTAACAGAATGGATTGACAAACTGGTTAAATTCTACAAGTTTTATGTGGAATTCCTAAAACATAAGTTTTATGTCTTCCAAGTTTTATAACTACTATATGGATAGAATCTTCTCACTTCTTCTACTTACCTTGCTTACATCAAGAATATGAGTTCATTCCAATTTATTTCCAAAGTGCTGGAAAGTGGAGCTGTGGCTCAAGTGGTAGAGAAGAAAAGCCCAGAGAGCACCCAGGCACTGTGGTCCAGCCCCAGGACCAGCAAAAAAAAAAAAAAAGAAAGAAAGAAAATTACTATGAGGTTAGTGAAATCAATAGGCTACGTCTTTAACTCATTTCTAAGTTTTGAATCCAGGTACACATGTGCCCAATGCATCACAGCATCTCTATGACCAGTGATGAAATTAAACTCAAATGACCATGCACAAACATGGACATGTAGACTAAGAGGTGTCTTTGCAGATGGATTCAGAGTGAGAAGCTTTTGACAGGAATGTTTGTGTTTTGGGATATATCTGAAAGAGAAGGCATCCAAACTCAGTTTATATAAATGCTTTGGTCTTTGTAACCTCCTTCAAAACAGGGAAGCAGAAGAGCCAACCTTATGATTCTTTGTTCTCTAAGTTCTATACAATTAGAGTAATATTAGGCATGAAATATTGAAAGAACAAAATGTCTATCTGTTCATGGTATATACCTAATAAATCTCTCCCTAAGGTATCTCCCTGCGGAATAGGGATAAAGCTAAGTATGCCTTGTGTCTTATCTATTTGTGTCTTATCTATCTGTAGGGTGAGGAATGAGGAAACCAAATCAAGAAGAGGATAAGCACCTGTTTGAAAACTTGTAGCTGTTAAGCAAAGCACTAAAATTCGTATCCAGGCAATCTGGCTAAAGAGTTCACACTTGTGAGTAGATATTAGACAGATACATAAGGCTTAAAAATATATGGAATAGGGCTGGGAAGGTGGCTCAGTGGTAGAGTGCTTGTCTTGCATTCATGGGGCCCTGGGTTTGATTCCTCAGCACCACATAAGCAGAAAAAGATGGAAGTGGTGCTGTGGCTCAAGTGTTAGAGCGCTCACCTTGAGCTGAAGAGCTGAGGGACAGCACCCAGGCCCATACAACTGACATATATATTGAATACTAGTTTTAGTATATGTGAGGCCAAAGTGGGCATCTAAGGTATTTTTATTCATTGTGATTGAAGTTCATGTGGACTCACAATACTCATTCAAAACCTTTTTGGATTCCCAGGAGTCTACTATCTACAAATGTAGAAATCTTAATTTAGTTAATTCTAATTCTTGTGTTATAAGTTCCTTTTATCAGCTTAAGGAGATGTCCATTTAATTAACAGTCACCAAGTCCTTCTCAATCCACAGTTGTGGGGTTGATGCTGCCGTTACTGAGTGCATTTTGCAACCATTTCTAAATGAAGACAGGGAAATCCTTGCCTTCCCAACCCCCCTCTAGAGCCAAAAGGTAGCCACCTGGTCATCTTCCCTCTACTGTTAGCAAGAGGAATCTGCTGAAGAAAGAGCTCACAGTAGTAGGTGCTGATTTTCTGGTGGATTTTCATATTAAATGCAATGGCTTTAATACTTTTTACTTATTGTCTTGACATGAATGGTTGCTTTCATTTTAGGTCAAAAAATAATAATAAATCTGAACGAAATAAATAGAAACTCCCAGGACTGCCAAAGTAAATGCCACTCAGAAAGAAATGAAGACAGGGATTACACAGTTGTAGCCTTGGGTATATGTAGAGATTCTTCCCTCAGGAGAAGAAAAATGAGACTTCAAGAAATACTGCCAAGAATGATCCTTTCCCTTCCATTTTTGGAGACTAATTTCTCTCCTAACACAAAAGGAGAATCAGATGGACCTTCCTTCCCCAGAAATTGTATTTGAATGGAGATCATCTACAAAACACACTGCTAGCACATGATTTCTTTTTTAAATAAAAAATGATATTGTCACTCAAATCTAAAAGTGAACATACTACTTTGGTGTTACAGATATATTTAGCAGGCACCAATGTAGTGAAGACTTTATAGGCAGATCCTATCAGAGTTAGCAATTGAATATTGTCAATGAAACCAAACCATTCAGGTGTATCTTCATGGACATGAAAATCCAATAAATTGGGAAAAGCTTTCCAAACTAGTGTTACAGTTCTTGGGTAACCTTCTAAACTACTAAATATAGAGACAATTCTTCTATAAACTCCCTAGACTTTTTTCCTCAGGACAACTGAGCATAATTGATTTCACATCACAGTCAGTTCTTGTGTAGGTGTGAACATCCATCAAATCAAGTTGTTTAACTTCAGGATGTGTGATCAACTACTCACACTTTGTAGATGAGTGATCTTGTGTCATCTTGTAGTTTATGAAGGAATCTGAACATAATGTATTCTCAAAGAAATTGACCATGACCCTAGCCTTATAAACACCATATTCAAGTCAAAGGATCCAATGGGCTTCAGGCCTGCCTTCATGCAGTCTAATAGACTTAAAGACATACAGGAAGAACTGCTTGATGACCCTACTGAGGAAGATTCTCAAAGGTTGTGTTGGTAGGAGAGGTACTTTTAAATGCTAGAGTATTATAATTAAATTGCAAAAATTAAAAGGAAAACAATCATTATCCAGGCATATTTCAAAGAAATTCAGTGTAAGATTGATTAGGAGTCCAGGCTATCAACAGGGTCTTACGTTTGTTTCTCAGCTTCGATCTCTCATTGGATGAGGTAATGAATTTCTCTTTGCCTCAGTCTGCTTACCTGTAAAAGGGAGATAGCAATGGAACTCGCTTTAAGCTTAAGTTTATCTAGTGACGCTCTTAGAACAAAGCAGGGCAGATTGGACATACTGTCTACATTAGCAATTACTACGATAGTAATTGGTTTCTAAGGAGCTTTTCTAAAACTTCTAAGTAACAGAGGAGACCGTTTCTGTGTCTATTCCTGCCAGTGAGAAAGATCCCTCCTCACATGCACATGCCTGCAGGGGTAAGGGTAGAGAGTCAGAAATTCATTGGCAGGTGTGGTTCTAGACAGAGGAATTCTAGTTTTACAGTTAGTCCTCCAGTCAAATGTAGAACAGGCTAGGTTTACTTTATGCTTTCTAACCAAATTGCAGTTGAAAAAATGGAACTGGACTTCT